GGGGAGAGAGTCTGAAGTAGACAGTCAGGGCACAGGGCAGGTTGGGGAGGAAGGCGGAGAGGGTGCAAGGTGTCAGCCAGGAGAGGAAGAGCTGGGGAGAGACAGGGAGGTAGGACCAGCATCCAAGACCACAGGGTGCTCTGGGGAAGGAGGTGCTGGACACTTGGGGCTTCCTCTACTGAAGAAATGGTTTTGACCTCACAGTTGCCAAGACCCTCCAGCAACAACACTGCATGCTCCTGACCCATCTAAAATATCATAGAGAACGAGAGATTTACATAACTACAAATTCAAAGCTTTATCTTTGTTTGCCAGATCCCTCACCCTGTAGTGAAAAAAGTTAGAAGCCTTTCCCCCCAAACTGAGAGGGTCTAAGGCAGGGGTGCAGGCAGAGCCAGGCCCTCACCTCGGCCTCCTCCAGGGCCGACTGCAGCTCCAGCTTCTCGACTTCCAGCTGCTTGCGGACCTTCTCCAGCTCATGAATATTCTTCCCGCTTTCTCCCAGCTGCTCAGTCAGGTCGGAGATCTCCTCTGGGGGTGGAGAGCCGGTCAGCTCAAATCCCCTGTTCCCCCAGCCCCCTGCCCTCCCTGTCACACTGCCCCTCCCAGCCTCCGGGCCGCACCCTGCAGGTTCTTGTTCTCCCGCTTGAAGGTCTCCAGGTGCTCCAGGGACTCCTCGTAGGCGTTCTTGAGCTTGAAGAGCTCGGTGCTGAGGGAGCGCGCCTCCTTCTGCGAGGACTCCAGCTCCGACTGCGACTCCTCGTACTTCTGTTTCCACTCGGCCAGGATCTGAGCGGCACAGGACACAGCTCATGGCTCACGGCACAGCCCCAGCCCCACCTCCAGGGACGACCCAGGCCCTTCTCCTGAGCTCAGCCTCCTCCCAGCCCCTGAGGAGGATGCTCCTGACCCTGGACCCCCTTGCTCTGCCCCCGTCCCCCCCTGCTCTGCCCCCAGGCCGCGGCCCCCAAAGCCTGGGCTCACCTTGTCGAAGTTCCTCTGTTTCTTGTCCAGGGCCGCGGCGGCTGCGTTGGAGCGCTCCACATCCACCATCAGGTCCTCGATCTCGTTCTGCAGCCGGTGCTTGGTCTTCTCCAGGGAGGAGCACTTGGCATTGACAGCCTCCACGGCCTCCTCAGCGTCCTGGAGCCGCTGGGCCAGCTTCTTCCTGCCCGGGGCAGTTAAGTGTGTGTGTGTGACTCTACCTGGGAAACTCCCGGTCTTGGGACCACCCAGTCGCTGAGCTACTAGATGGGGAGAACCCAACCCCTCCCCACAGCTCCTTGGGACACTGAGCAGCCCTTTAGGCCCTGGAACCCCAGCCTCCAGCGAGCTGAAGTTGTGGGCACCTAGAACAGAGTCTCCTACGGGCAGCCCCCACCCCTCCCCACCCAGGCTGATCGTCGGTAGCTCCTCTGACCAACAAGCTTTTTGCTCGTCTTATACGTGAGCAGCAGGTATAACCCGGGCCAAAAGCTCGCCCGTCACAGGAAGTGAGTCAGGGCCAGCCAGGGTTCACTCACAGCGCAGCATCCAGGCTCCCTCTTAAGCACCTCTATTACACGACATGTTTCTCCACCCTCCTCTCTCCTGCCTCAAACCTCCCTCCCATGCCCACTCTGCCGGGCTCCCGACCAGGTCCTCTTGCTCATTCCTCTCTTAGAATCAGGGTAGGGGG